AATATAGAGTGCTTGTAGAGTGGTTTGGTCTATTGATGCAATTGCTCACTTGACGTTGAAAACCCCTGCTGCTCCGGGCATGCATCGGTGATCGCCGTTGCACCGGCCTCGGGAAGCGGGTGCGGAACGCCGCCTCAGCCTGACAGGGGCCGAATACCAGAGTCCGGTCTTTATGACGTTTGAAGCCTTTGGCCTCTCGAGGCATCAATTGGCTAACGCGCAAGATTACAGATTCAGCGCGCCCAGGAACTCAATCTTAGGGCGATTGACAGGTGAACATGGGGGGCGTCGATCATTGTTAGACACACGTTCTACCCTAAACTTGACCACGTTTTTCGCGACTCGTTATGAATATGGTGTTTTGTCCGATATCACATACCGCGCTTTGTCCCGCTTGTGGTTCCCCGAGGTGACATTTGAAACGTCGCAGCGAGAACGTTTTGGTTTGGATGGAGACTCAAAGCCACGATAGCGGAGATATGTCGCAGATTGGTCGCTGGGTCCAGTGATCGAATCGAAGGGTATTTCATTTCACACATGGCGTAGGTCTCGACCATGAAGTACGCCACCAACAGATAAGATATCATATAGATCTGGCGAACCGACAAAAGCAAAAGAGCCGCAAGCTTTAAATTACAGTGGCTGATATCTCATATCAAGTAACGGATAGGGCAAAATAGTATGTCATGAACTATTACATGGGCCAAGAAACACCACGACACGTAACGATGGACTTGGCTGATGTCCGATGAGACGACAAACAGGGCATGACAAGGCCAGAGCCCAGAGATTCGGCAATTTGAAGCCGGGGCCCAGTCAGTCGGGTCGGAAACTAGGCAGTTAGCAGCACTGTAGTGTAAGTAGAGATCCCTGCAGAAGCACAGCCTGAAGAGTTGGGTATTTGGATAGGTAGGTGATTCGAATAACTACCTAACTATCAATGACGACGATGTGGACGAACAGAGTGATAATTCTGAGATAGGCAGTCTAAAGAGAACAGATAGAGAATGGTAAAAGGCAGTGTTAAGGAGAATTTCCCAAATAGAGACGGTGTGATGTGAAATATTGCCAAGTCGGACGCATCTCGTGCTGTAGCGCAGTCGAACATCTCCGTAGTGGTCGTTGAGCTAACACCAGCGATTTCCATTGTCGGCCATGTTTCCCCTTTGGGCCTATTCTGGCGCTGAGCCTCCATTACCGAGCTGTCAAGACAACAAGAGTTGCATCACAGGACATGAGAGCAAGCAATAGCTTCAAAGACAAATAGACAGACATCCATTAGTCGAGTTACACTAAAGCTAGAAGAATCTATTCTAAGACTTTGAATACATGATTTAAGAAGATGCTATATCCCCTCACCTCAACTGTTAATATTGCTTCTCCTCAGCCAGCTTCAGGTTCAATCCCGTCGGGTCCTCCAAGGTACATACAGCACTGGTTGCACTATCATTGAAGGGTCCTAAGGTACCTAACTATTCCCCCACATCACGAGCCCTGCGACACCGGTCCCTTAAACACGGCGTTTCCCAACAACAACCATTAATCGATCAATCGTCTTAGACTCACAGGCGAAATACTCATTATAGGCGCAACTGCCGCGATTGTCTAAAACATCAACCACAGACAGAAACCAACCATCAAATTGCCCTGGTCGGCCGCTGTATAATCTCAATCATCCATCATCCTATATCTCTACACCCTCTACACGCCCTCCCCCCCCTGTCCAAGACTATCTCAAGCTCGCCAGACCTTGACCTTGACCTTGAACCTCTCTCATTGCTTTTCTTGTTGCTCTCATCTACGAATTTTATTTCCCTTCTTTCCTCTTAAGCGCCTGTCGAGGCTGGTTTATATCATCCACCTCGTCTCCCGCCATCCAATATCAGACAAGAGCATATCGACCGACATCTTCCCTTCTCCTCAGCTCTTCTCTTCCTCTCCCCCCGCCTTCAGCTTCCATAGACCAAACGCCCCGTGCACAGCTACCTACGCTGCTTTCAGCTCTGGAACCAATCCTATCAACGAACCATCCAATCCCGACCCCCGGCCTTTAAAGAACCCTTAGATCAAATCAATCAATCAATCAAAGCCGAGTACTCGAGCGAACGAGCGCAAAGAACGAACGCCTTCTTCTCGCCTCTTTTTTTTTGCCCCGCGTGAGCATCCATCCCATCAGCATCAGCATTCATCAGCACAGCATCAATCAGCAACATTGGCCCATACTCTTGAGCACTTGACCGTCCCACGCGCTTTTACTACAGTACATCGTCATCGCGCCCAGCTTCGCCCCAGAACTAGGTACATTTTTACATGCACTATCCTGTCTGACCTGTCTTGGCGCCGAGCCCGAGTTTCCCAGGCCCAGCCCAGCCAGGCTTGCTCTCTTCTTCATCTTTTCTTACCTGCATTTCTCTCGACCGACCCGACTCGACATCTTCTCTCCAACACCATCAGCAAAGCCCAGATACGACCGATATACTGAGCCGCTGCTCTACCTAACAACTTCAACTCAAAACAACACCAAAACCGCCCCGTCATGTCGGGATATCCAGGTTACAATTCTGGCCGCTACGGCCCGCCGCAACCCCAATACCATCAGCAGCCTCAGGGCAATTATTACCCGTACGACTCCCCCCAAAAACACGAACATCATTTGATACACGTCCCCCGCATTTCCCATGCGCCTGGCGATCGCTTATGCTATTGCCCGACGAACCATTCGTCATCATGGAGTTCATAACTAACAACGTCTTCACTTCTATAGACCCCAACCTTCGTATGGCGGTGGCTACCCGCAAGGCCAGCCTTCTCCGCAGCCGCCGTTTGGTTACCAACAACAGCCTCCCCAACAGCAGTACTACTCAGGGCCTCCCCCTCAACAACAGCAGTACGGTGGTCACTACCAACAAGGACCCCCTCAGCCTAATTACGGCTCGCGACCTGGTGGTACGTTACAGACAATGCGCTCTCGACCGACTTGTGCAGTACCAGCTAACTCTAACCAGGTGGCCCTGCTCCTCCTCCTACAGCACCCCAGCAATTCGGTCATGGCGCTCCCAATAGCTACAACTTCAGATACTCGAACTGCACCGGCAGGAGAAAAGCCCTTCTCATTGGAATCAACTACTTCAACCAGCGCGGTCAACTCCGAGGCTGCATCAACGATGTCCGCAACATGACTGCTTATCTTTCTGAGCACTTTGGCTACAAGCGTGAGGATATGGTGATCCTTACCGATGATCAGCAAAACCCCATGAGCCAGCCAACCAAACAAAACATTCTTCGAGCTATGCATTGGCTAGTGAAAGATGCTCGACCCAACGATTCTTTATTCTTCCATTACTCAGGTACGAACTATGCTTTGGGACCCCGAGCACCCCCAAGCTCCAAGATCTCTACTAACAGTCGCAGGTCATGGTGGACAAACAAAGGATCTTGATGGCGACGAAGACGACGGCTACGACGAAGTCATTTACCCGGTTGATTTCAGACAGACTGGCCATATCACCGACGACGAGATGCACCGCATCATGGTTCGCCCCCTACAAGCCGGCGTTCGCCTGACAGCAATCTTCGATTCGTGTCACTCTGGTACCGCCCTCGATCTGCCGTACATTTACTCCACGCAAGGCATTCTCAAGGAGCCCAATCTGGCCAAGGAAGCAGGACAAGGTCTGCTTGGTGTCATCTCCTCGTACAGCCAGGGCGATCTTGGGGGCGTGGCCAGCAATATCTTCGGCTTTATCAAGAAGGCTGCCAATGGCGACGAGGTTCGCGAACGCAACTTGAGGACAAAGACCTCTCCAGCCGACGTTATCATGTGGTCCGGCAGCAAAGACGATCAGACTTCGTGGGTACCCCTGTTTCCTCAGTATTACCCTTGTTACCAGATGATTCCAGCTTGATTATTTGGCTTTCACTTGTTCATTTTATGTTATTGGGACTGGTTTCTCAACTGGGCTTGTTAGCATGGCGCAAGGCGTTTTTGGCTTTAACAATTTGTTGTATCTAACTTGAATAACTATCTTCCGAGCCTGCTCCAGATGCCATATATGGTCTCTTAAAGAGGCTGTATTTGCGCATTTGGGGCGACGAGCTGCGTTGGATCGGTGGAGATTCTGCCTTTGCTCCTACACGACACAGCATGGTCAAAGCAATTCGCTAACATATTCTACAGTGCCGATGCAACTATCGCCTCTCAGGCTACCGGTGCCATGTCTTGGGCCTTCGTCACTGCCCTCAAGAAGAGTCCTCAGCAGAGTTACGTTCAGCTTCTGAACAGCATCCGTGACGAGCTCGCCACACGATACACCCAGAAACCTCAGCTGTCATGTAGTCACCCTCTTGGTAAGTCGAACTAGCTATCTCCGACCTCGAAAGTCAGACACTAACAAGTACAGACACAAATCTACTATTCGTCATGTAATGTATATAAACCATGACCGCCGTACCTCGAACTTGGAGTTGGAATACCCCGAATCTACTGAAAAACCGGCAGCGTTTGTGTTAGAAGACACGTAAAGAGGTGGAAGCTGGGCGGAACGGGGGGAGGCTTTTTCTGAAAACGAGTATCATAGTACCATTGGATAAGGTAGTATTGCAATGGGAGGCTGTCTGAAAGATTTGGTAGTTGGCACTTGATGTCTTGATGACTAGCTGTGTCGGAGAATTCAAACACAAAGCGTATTGTGAGAAGTATAGTTAAATCGAAATGCTCCTGATTTGATGCTCATAGCGTCTAGCCTCTTTGTGATGTAACGAAACATACTGCTGCTTCGATTGCCAAATTCCATTTCTCAACGCCGAAAACCACCCTATGTAGAAACATGACTTAGGTATCCGTAATAACCCTGCTAATAACCAAATTGACAATGATACAGACCAGCCATACAAGCCCTGTAAACCATACGCTCTCGCTCATGCAATGCTATGTTCGTTCTGTCGGTGGTCCTGCCAGCTTACATATACCCAGACTCCGTGTAAAGACATGCTTTGTTTCCTTATGCTTCAGCTCTCACAACCTTTAGTTGCCTCGATCGCTTCACCTTGCGCTGCTCCTCAGTTGCAACAACAAGTTTGCGACGCACAACTTCTTGCTTGGCCCAGTTGTTGGCCGACAAGCGAGCACGAGCGATGAAGCGCGCCATGACAAGGAAGGTCTTGAGAGTAGGTTTTGTGTTGGAGGTGGTAGCTGTTGTGTGGCTGGGTAGAGAGAGAGCCTTTTTGTTGCCAAGGAGATTCGTGCGAATGTCTTCAAGCTCACGCAATTGAGCTTTGTTGCTGTGCGGTTGTCAGTATAAATCGAGTCACAGACGACACAAAGGGAACTTACCATGCATTGGCAACATCGAGTTGCAGCTGGAGGAACTTCTTCGCATACGCGGCATCAGCCCGAAGAGAGGCCTCACGCTGGAAACGGGCCTGCATCCACTCCATCTGCATCACCATGCCTCGCAACTCCTTCCTGTGACGCTCGTCGGCGCTCTCAGCTGCCCTGATCACTGTCTCGAGAGCCTGGTCAGCTCCTTCAATGGTGGTATCCAGAGCCTTGCGGTCAACAGCGCTTCGTCGGTCAGAAGCTCCGTTTCTAGCGGCGACTGCTGTAGCCTTGATGCGCTCAAGATCCTTCTGTAACTTCTCCGCGCTCATACGGAAAGCTGCCCGCTCGCTGCGTGCTCGCTCTAGCTTGCGCCGAAGAGAAGCTTCGGAGATGGCAAGGCCCTCGATGAGTTGCTGTTGCTGAAGGACATCATGCTCCAGGTTCTCCATCTCAGCCTTATTCTTCCTCAGTTGGCGGTCATGTTTGCTAAGGTCAGGCTGTACTGTAGCCAAGGCGTTGCGCTCGCGCTCTGCCTTATCTAGTTGATGCTTCATGCGACGAAGAGCACGCTCATGCTGTGCTGCTGTCTCCTCGGCTTGCGCTCTTGCCTCCTCGAGAACCTCCTCGAGTACTATCTTCTGATCCTCGAGATCGTTCAATTGGCGCTGGAAGTCCTGAGACAATTGCATCGCTCTGCGCTCGGCATCACGGTTCTTGGCTCTGAGATCCTGTATTGACTTCTGAGCTGCGGAGAGTTGGCTTCTGAGCTCCGTGACCTCCGACTTGCGACCAGAATCACTGGTTGAAGACTTTGGAGACACAATGAGGCGAGAGACTTCAGTCTCATGAACTTGACGCTCGAGGTCGGCAATTTGTCGCTTCAGACCCTTGACGACATCACGGTGGGCAGATTCTTTCTGCAGGAACTCTAGCTCCTTTTGACGAGCTGTAGTGAGGTCTTTGCGGATCATAGATAGCTCGCTATTACCCTCGAAGTTGTTAGGTATATGGCGAGTATTCAGCTGGGCTTCATAATCCTCGATACGACGCTCAAGCTCACGAATCGTGCGCCGAGCAGCAGCGATATCATGGCTGTCTGTTGAGGACGATTGTCGTAGCTTGGCCTGTAGCTGAAGAATCTCCTGCCCCAGACGTTCTTCCTCCTCGGCAGCTTTCTCAATTTCATCCTCTAGCGTCTTTTCGATCGCATCACGCTGCTCAATGAGAGCCTTGTTCTCATCTCTGAGGCGTCGTACTTCATTGTCAAGTTTGAGTTTGGCCGTGCGGAGGTCAAGTCTCTCTTGATCAACGCGGAGGGTTTCATTGTCGTAGAATTTCGTTCGGCGAAGTTCCCCATCAAGTTCATCCCGCTCTGCCTTAACTTCAGCCAGAGAGAAGCTGACAGAATGGAGTTCAGCAGTGATCTTGGCAACTTGGTCTTGAAGAGACTGCTTCTCCTTGGAGAGCTTATCTAATTGAGAGTTGACGTCCGAAAGCTGCCACTTCAATCGTGTCATCGATTCAGTCGACTGCTGAGCATCTTGCTCTGAAGTAGCAATAGCGGCCTGGGCTGCCTCGGCTCGTTGACGCCATGTCTTAAGCTCTTCCTTGAGGTCATCAATCTCAAACTGGGCGGCTTCTGATGAACCGGCCTTCTGGCGCATCACCCTCAGCTGCTCCTTGAGATTCTCAACCTCAATATTCGCAGCCTCTGATGCATTGGCGCGCTGTCGCAAAGCTCGGAGCTGCTCTTTGAGGTCATCAATCTCCTGACTAGCAGCATCAGACGAGCCAGCTCGTTGACGAAGAGCCTTTAGTTGTTCTTTCAGGTCTTCCACCTCGAGACTGGCACCTTCGTGGAGATCTGCGCTTTTGCGTGCCTCTCGAAGTTGTTCCCTGAGATGGTCAATCTCCTTGTTGAGGACTTGCGTTGATGCTGCTTGGGATGAATTGGTGCGTTGTCGTAGAGACTTGAGCTGTTCTCTCAAATCCTCGCACTCTCGCTTAGCAGCCTCGGCCTCATAGCGTCCGGCGTTTTGTTCTTTATCCAGTGTTGTTTGCAGAACATCCACCTCATCCTCTAATGCAGCCACTCTTCGGACTTGTGTCTGGTGCTCGATCTGTGTCTGTCGTAACTCGTCACGAACAGTGGAAAGTTCATTGCGCAGATTTGTCAATAACGTCTGTCGAGTTTCAAGGGCGTCCTGAAGGTCCTCAATCTGTCGTGAGAGGATTCCTTCTTCGCTCCTGTGTCGTTCATTCTCGCTTTGAATAGCTGCTTGTAACCTTGATTCCTTATCCGAGAGTGTGCCCTCAGCTTCCCTGAGGCGATCAATGGTTCTCTGTAAACCTGTTGCCTTTTCTTCGGCGCGATTTCGTTCTGATTCAAGATTTTGCTTCTCGGTTTCCCATTTCTCGCTATCGTTATCATAAAGGTTGTCTTTTTCGCGGATTTCTGCCTGAAGATCCGAAATTTCGTCGTTGAGGCGATCCATCTCCGCTTTGTATTGACCACGGATATCCTTTTCAATTTCTAACGCATGCTCTCTCTCTTCCGCTAGACCATCCTTAAGATCTTGGATTTCCTTTTCTAGCTTCTGGACATCCTTCTGAAGGGACCTGGACTCAGTTGCGAGTGCATCGTGTCGGCTTTGAAGGACGTTCTTTTCGTCAGTTCGAGCTCGAAGATCGGCCTCAAGCTGCTCGATTCTGGTTGATAGAGAATTTCGTTCGCGACCGAACTTTTCGTGGTTCTTCTTGAGCTCCTTAACGGTAGACTGCAGGGAGTCGTTTTCCTGCGTTACCTCGTGATGCTCCTTCTCTAGAGTAGCATAGTCTTGGCCAGCTTGATCCAATTCCTCTTGCAACCGAGCAACCTTCTCTTCGATTTGACGAGAAAGTCCCTTTGTCACCACTGACTTGTTGGCCATATCATCCTGAAGCTCTTCAAGATCGTGCTCGGCCCGCTCTTTTTCGGCTACAGCGTCCTCTATCTTGGCTTTCGCATCCTCAACTTGCTCCTCGAGACGGCGGATGTTGTGCTCGAGGTCCTGGATGGTGTCTTTGGCATCATCTAGCTCATCGTTGTGCTGGGCCTTCTCCTCCAATGCCAACATTTTTCGTTGAGCGTCCTTGGTTTTCTCTTCCGCCTCTGATACAGCATCTCTGAGGGCTTCCATTTGCTCCTTCAGGTCCTCGAGCTCGTCTTCACGCTCCGTAAGTTGCTGATCCTTTTCCCGAATGTCAGCCTCGAGGTCACCGATATCATCCTGCAGCTTTTCGACCTGGTCGCTGTTCCCTTTCTGTTGTTGTAACTGTTGCTGGAGGTCTTCGATATCTGCTTCGCGATCTTCTAATATGCGCTGCAGCTTCTCAACTTCGGCCTGGTTATTCTGGTTGGCGTATTTCCGCTTAGCCTTCTCCTGTACTTCTAGCATTTGCTGTCGATAGCTCTCCAAGTCCTTCTCGGCGGTTGTCAAGTGTTTTTTGTACCGGTGCAGTTCTCTTTGCATTGTAACTTTGTCGACCTTGAGCTCGGTGTTCTCCTTGAGGGCCGCTTCGCTAAAGCCAGGCCCAGCCTTTCGAAGCGCCTCTTCTAGGAAATGAATCTTGAGCTTCAGTCCGAAATTCTCCTTTTCGATCCTATCAATCACATTCTCCTGCTCTCTTAGCGAAAGCTGATTACCATCCTGGAGGGGTCCCTTATCGCCGCCTCTCCTTCGGGGAACAGCCAACGGGGTTGAGGCAGCGCTACTGGTATCGACCTCGGGAATGGCGTTCTCCATATAAGACTGATTACGCGACCCTAGGTAGATGGACGTGTCGCCGCGGGGGACGGGAGTCAGGTCACCTTCGTCGATCTTGTCTAATGCGGGTGTGTTCGGTACTGCAGCGCCATTCTCTTTGCCGAAGTGACGCACGCTATTTCTTGTTGCTGATTTAAGTAAGGGTGTGAATTCGGCACCTCCAACGCTGGGAGGAAGGTTTCTGCGGTCGGCCAAGGGCCCTCTCTGGCGCGGGGTGCGAAGATTGATGCCATTAGAGCGGCCATTGCGGAGTTGTTGTAGGAGATTGCCCTCTTTTGGGGGTGACTGAAAGGATGCTTCTTGTGTTATATCGGCAAAGTCGGGCTGTCCAAGGTAGGTCGCATCCCCAATGTTTGTTCGCGGGGTGTCGAGCGCGCCGCCGCCAAAGTCGGGCATGATGGCGGTCGTTGCGTGGGCGGTATAAAGTTTAGAAATGCCGTGTATTAGAGACGCAATGCATGTTATGTAAACAGTTTAAAACGCTCTGCAATCTAGAGCAATCAAGTCTTGCGAAGGGCGTCTCTCTCTGTGTGTGTCTGTTGTTAGTGACGAGAGAAGAAATCGTGATAAAGAAGTCGTAAAGATGTGTAGGTAAGGTAGCGTCGAATTGTAGCGCGCTATCTTACCGCTGTAAGTCGGGCAAGAAAGACCCAGACACTATTACCACGCGCGTTTTTGTTTACTTTGGTATCCATTTCCGGCCTAGAGTCAAAACAAATCGCAGCCAATTACCGTTGTTCGATGATGCCCAATCATATTGACTACTTACATGACTCAGCATTGTTCACTACGGTCATAACCCCGCTAATATTCTTCACCCTTACTTAGGTACCCCAGACCTACCTAACGATGATAACATCGCCTGAAAGAATGAGGCGATAGGTTGATGAGCACTAAGAGGGGAGAAAGCATGACATGTTGAATTAGGTTGATCGGCAGACTCCAGTGACACAGCGACAGCCCGATCAGAAAAAGATCTCACATCCATACAGTGACTGATTGACCATTATTCAACAATCCACCAACCTCCAACCTGAACTCACCACTCACCACTCACACCACACACCGCATCACAATTCTTTCTATAATCGACTGCCTGCCTCATCGAGAGGCCCGCCATGTTCTTTTCCCAAGTGCCAGACGAGATAATTCAACATTTGCTCTATTACATCCCCCCAGAAGACAACCTCTCTAATTTCCAACTCGTCTCACATCGCCTAAGGCATCTGGCTAATGAACCGCTTCTGTGGAAATATCATTGCCGAAGCAGTTTTAGATTCTGGCATCCCGAGCACAACCTGCAGCGCCGTCTAAAGGGTAGGGCGTCTGATACACCGTGGAAGAAATTATTCATCTTACGCAAGTTCCGCAATGAACAGCTTAAACGTCTCTTGGACGAGATCCTTGTAACCAAAGTTGGCCGCCTAAAGCGATATGAAAAAGTTTGCCAACTTGGTTATGACGCCAAAGATTTTCTCCTAGAGCAGTGCAAAGCAGACGAGAATACCGAAGATGTCTTGGCTCGACGGTGAGCAACCTCGTCGCTAATCTCCCATTCGAATACTTATCCAGATCTTTTAGATATTACAGTCAATCCCTGCTGGATAGTATCCACAGATCTATCGCCATTGATGAGTGGTACAACATTCAACTTGTGACCTCGACTCACAGTGGCCAACCACAGAGCCTCAGCCTTGAGCGCGCTCTTGGGGCATTCGATTTATTCGTTCTGCACGACCAGCCCGGAGATCTGGACGATGTGAGTACTCTTCGTATGACCAGGGTTCCCTCGGTTAACACTACGTCAAGATTAGCGATATTCTTGATAATCTGGCGGCCGAGTTTCTTGAGACTCAACCAGACATTGGTGAAATGTCAACGCGACAAAAGGCACTGGAATTAAACCGATGGCTGCGAATCAATAACCTCACAGGTTTGCGGAATCCTGAGACAAGTTATCGAAACCTCAGAAATTGTCTCATCGGCCAAGCTCTGCGCCATGAAGATCACGACTCGATCCCTATCATCTCGAGCGCCATCTTTTGCTGCCTCGCTCAGCGGTTGGGTGTCGAAGCACAATGCTGTGCATTTCCAACTCATGTACATGCTATAGTGCTTGCAGAGAAAGGAAAGACTCTAGACAGCACCCCTGTTACAGAGGATCATGCACCTCCAGAGAGGATGTACTTGGATCCCTATGGTTCGAGTGAGGAGATCCCTCTGGCTGATTTACAGACTTTGCTGTCCCGTTTTGGCTGGCAGTCGAGCACCGATACCTTCTTGTCTCCCGTAAACCCTGTCGCCATTGCCATGCGGACAGCGCGCAATATCAGAGCCACCGCTGCCAGGGTGATTGGCGCCCATGAGCAGGCTGACCCCGAACTTACCAGACTCATCACCGGCAATGATCCAGCCAATATCGAGGCTTCCCTCTACTCCGCACTCTGGGCGTCTCTTCTTCTTACACCGGTCGACTCCTTCGAATGGGACGAGGTTTTGGAACCTTTCCTTAACCGATTTGCAAAGAGCTGGCACGTAGATGCCTGGCTCGTCGAGAAGTACATATTCCCTTTGTACGATCGCTTTGGCCCCTTTCGTGAGAGATTCATGAGAAACAATCCCCGTAGGTGGGAAGATCCTCATGAGGTCTTAGATCTTGTGGATGAGTTTGATGACGTTCCACCGCTGGTCTTTCGCAGGGATAGCGCGAGGACCCAAAATGTGCTCTACAAGATTGGGCAGGTCTTTAGACACCGACGATATGGCTGGATCGGTGCTGTTAATGGGTGGACCGACCAGGGTACGAGGCATTTGCCCATGCCACACACCGTGGCTATTGACGAGACGCTGGACGATAACAGCGATACAGAATTACCTAACCGGGTGCGTCCCCGAAACCAAACATTTTACACATGCCTGTAAGTCGTCTAAACAGCTCTGGTTCTCATTTACAAGCTGACGTATAAATACAGACGCACAATAGGCCCCGAGCGGCATGTTGTTGCAGAAGACAATATTGTGCTGATTCAGGATCCGAGAGAGGTCCCGGAGTCTTTGTTTCCTCAGGCTGGGAAGTTCTTCAAGAGATTTGATGCTGAGACTTGCAGCTTTGTGTCCAACATTACGGAGCAGTACCCGGACGATTAAAGGGTGTCGAGAATCATTTCTTTTATGTTGGTTATCACGATTTGATTTTCACTCTTCGAAATGCATGCTTGGTGTTCGGAAGGCTTTATTACGATGGACGGCGAGTAGTCTCTCCTGAGAGGAGATCATGGTTCACGATACAGGTGGTTTATGCAGCGAAAAGGTGTGCAGAGTATTGCTTCAGGAGAATTAGTTTCAATAGCCTGAGTAAGTAGACTCTTCAGGCACTACGTATGTTATAAGCACTCTAAGCTCTTTGTGACTCCAATACAACGTTGAATCATATCATGTCGCCTTGATTACTTCTTCCAAAACACCCTTCTCGGCAAGCTTTTTCATCCACCTGTGTAGGGCAGGTCCGTAGTCCTTTTTTCGGCCTTTTACTCGCTGCTCGTTATCGGAGATAGCCATCAATTCTGAGCGGTATTCGCCCATGGCAGCCTTGACGTCGACCATAAGCTCTTGGTGAAGCTCATAAGCACTCTGAGTGTCGAAACTCGGTCGCTTAAGCTTTTCCTGTAGAGTGTCTGGAACGTTTGCCTTTATGATATCTGCTTTGGTGAGATTAAAATCGGACAATCGCGAGTCGTCTTCAATATCCAGGGGAGCTTCCTCGGCAGAGATGAGGTCCTTGAATGCGGGAAGAGATTCGGTGTTCTCGTGTAGGTACCGGAGAGATGCAGCGGCCTGGGCAATAGTTTGGGAGTAGGCAGTGAGCGGGCTCTGACACAGAGCTAGAAGGTTGAAGGAGAGCTGACTCTCTTCATATTGAAGCATTCGGCCTTGAATCTGTGGTCTTGCCACACTTGTCCAATCACCAGTATCGGGAACGTGATCTGATGGACGGAATTAGCCAAGCCCATAGGATACTTGCATGGAACAGTGGCAGAGAGCTTACCCAGCCTACGAGGCTTATGCTGGAGCCCATCTAACTCCCACACATAACCACCCGCGGGAACATATGCAATAAAATGATATCCGTACTCTGTATTTGATTTCTTTCTTCGTGGAGGTGCCTTCTTGCCTTTATTTCCTACTGTGCGCCTCTTACTCGTGCTGGCTTTTGCGTCCGACGCTTCGTTCTCCAGACATAGATCAGCGCTGAGATGGTCCATACGGCGCGTGAAAGAGTTGTGTATCGTGCGTATGAAGTTATTTTTGCTGATTTGATGGCCTCGCAGAGCAGTATTGAGATCCTTGGTAGACTCCTTGAAGGCTCGGAGCTTTTCACCAAGGTCGATTCCTTCGGCGTTCATAACAATGTTTAGCATGGCCACAGTCGCACATGCATTGCTTGTGGTCTTTTCATGGTCAGAAACGATATTCCAAAGGGTTTATGCGACCTACCTGATTCGCAAACCACACACCTGTTGCATCTTGTTCTTCGCTCTCCTCTTCGAGACCAGGTAGATACTGAAACAGAAAGATCAAACCGTATACCGGCTGTCTGAGAGATGTTAGTGTATGCTGTGATATAGGTAAGCAAGTGCTTAATGTAGTCTTACGGTAGAAATGCGAGTGCATCTTGGTCAATGGTGAAGATCTCCTGCGCTTTAACATTGCGAACTCCCAAGTCTCGAAGAATGATGTTGAAGAAGGCTGGTTCTGACTCAAGCTCTATCCACCCTTCCCACTCTTCGACATCCTTTAGTGACAGAGGAGCTAAGGCTTCATCAAGAAGTTGTTCAGAATCTAGGCCATGGTTCAACTCGTTTGCTGCCTCGCTGGCCTTGCGCTTCGGGTTTCTCCTGGGACCACTCATTGTGGCTTCTGTAGTGGTTTGCTGAGGAGGCTTGGAAGCCAGACGAGTAGAACGACGCACAAAGGGCGTGTCTTGAAGAGACTTTTCGCCCTGAGAAATGTCGTCAGCTTGCAGCTTGTTTTTCATGGTGGAACATTTATCGACGGTGAGGGAGGAGAGAATGCAGACGAAGTAGAAGGACGGGGAGAGGAAGAGGAAGAGGAAGAAGATCTTGAGAGTATCAAGATAAGATTGCCTGTCCCGAGTGAAACCAATAAGAAAGAGAGATATTTGGTTATTTTGCGGTAGTTTGGTTGACATGTAGGCTTTATGTTGAGACTTGGATGTCTTTTCTGATGTTTGTGCGCTGGATGCTTTAGACTACCTGCCAGAACAATAAAGCAGGGCATGCAAACTTCCAATTCAATCCATACCTAGGTAGGTACCTAAGGAACCCTTACAAATAGGTACCCAAGCAAAAAAGGGGGGAGGCTTCTAGACCTCACCT